AGCTGAATGGGACCTCAGCCCTGAGGATTCTTTATGTGCTGCAAGTACCAGGGTATCAGAGACAGAATGGATATGTATTAATGTTCAGAGGTTTATGTGGGCTTATTCACAGCAAGAGATTTGGCTTCATCACAGGAAGCATTTCTAAGAGGAAATCATAAGAAAATAGCCATGCAAACAAAGATACTATGGGATTGCCTTTGATTTAAAAATTTACAGCAGGGAAGGTCCTCACATTTTACTGTTTTCTGAGCAGTTTAGAAATAGAGACTTAGAAAGCCTTTCCAACATACTGAATCTCCATTCTGAAAAAACTCATAGAAGGTGAAATTCTGAAAAAAAAACCAAACAGGGTATGTGATCAATTTGAAATCTGTGTGGGATTCTTTGTATGACATAAAATATCTTGATCTTATTATCAGTGCTACAGGGTGTTCTTATGTAGCCTAAATGGCTCCAAAACTGAATTTGAGTCATCAATATAGAATTCTGCTATAAATAGCAAGAAAAATATAATTTCTTTAAGTGAAAACATAGAATATGGGATATCTAGGGTCATATGTCCAAATCCCCTCTTTAAGCTTCAAAGGGATAAACAATTTGTTCAAAATAATTGTGAGTTATTATTAATGGGGCAGGAGATTTTAGTTCTTTTCTTGCAGTGAGGATGATGTTGCTCCATTCAGAATAATAGATTGAAATATTCTTAAATACATCAAGACATTCAAGTCAAGCTGATAACAAACAAATGCATTTAAAGTCAATTAACTTAGGTAAAATATATCAGCAATGGCTATGAAAATAAGCAGAGCTAGTCAAAATATCCATAACTCAAATGGATGATTCCAGGAGGCCTCATTATATTATATTTACTATTATTTTTACTAGCAGTCTTAATAATTTAGCATGTAGGGAATAATTGTTTTCCATCTCCTCTGAATGTTGACAAAGAAATAAATTTTAAATAGTGTGTTTCTATTTTCTGTTTCTGTTCAGAAATCAGGAAGTGAAAAACAAATCTATCAAATATCAAGTGTTTAAAACCCTAATACATATGCATTTATATGATCATTTAGAGCCAAGGAACAATGATAATATATGGCTATGAAGGGAAAAAAGTCATATAAATACTTGACATTTTACTAATTCACATGCACATGTAACACAAAGTGGTTTTTTTTTTTAGTGATTCTACCAATTTCACCACATGGAGAAGCACTGAAGCATAGCAGAGTGGAACTTTAACAAATATTGAAATTACATAAACAAAATTCAACTCCTAGCTCTTCCATTGTTAGAAATATTGTTGACTTGTTTATCTCTCTAATCTTTACCTTTCTTGGATGGCACTGGAATTTATAAACAATATGATTTTTAAATGAAGATAATCATGTAAAGCAACAATTCATGTAAATCCTGACACATTGTGGGATTCTATGAATGATAGGTCTTCACCTTACAAAATATCAAAGTATTTTCATCACCAATCTAACAAGGAGAAAATAGCATCAAAAGTATTCTAAGTCTTATGATTCTAAAATTTTTGTTACTAATCTGCCTTCTGTCCTCTTTGACACTGTATTAGTTAGGGTTCTCCAGAAACAGAACCAAGAGGAGATTAAATAGATAGATAGATAGATAGATAGATAGATAGATAGATAGATAGATAGATAGATAGATAGATAGATAGATGATAGATAGATAGATAGATAGATAGATAGATAGATAGATAGATAGAAAGATAGATGATAGATAGATAGATAGATAGATAGATAGATAGATAGATAGATAATAGATAAAGGCATTTATTATCAGGGATTTGTTCACACAATCATGGAGGCTGAGAAGTCCCACAGTCTGATGTCTGCAAACCAGAGATCCAGGACAGCCAGTGGGGTAGCTCCAGTACAAGTCTGAAGGCCTGGGAACCAGCAGCACTGATATGTAAGCCCCAATCCACAGGCAGAAGAAGAGCGATGTCCCAGCTCAGCAGTCAAGCAGAGAGAAAGGATTCTTTATTCCTCTGCTCTTTTGCTCTACTTAGGTCCTCAACTATTTGCAAGGCCCGCCATTGGGAAGGGCAATCTGCTTTATTCAGTTTACTGATTTAAATGCTAATCCCTTCTAGAAACACCCTCACAGGCACACCCAGAAATAATACTTAATCAAATCATGAGCATTTTGTGGCCTGATCAAGTTGACACACAAAATTAACCATCACACACCCAAATTCATATCTTGCCAACTCTACCTAGAATTCAGGCCTCAATCTAGACATCATTATTTACTGGGAAGTATCCCTTATACCCTACAATAAGTTTGCTGGCCTCTTTATCATACATTCTAGATTTACTCTTTATACTCTGTAATTCCATGTTATTTGTCTGTGTCCTCCAGTCAACTAAATATTTTTAGGGTCAAGGACATTGTTTTGCTTAATATTTAATTTTCTGTTTCTGATCCACAGTAGATGTGAAATATATATTTTCCAAAGGGCTGAATGGATTTATCCACCCCATTTCAGTATTTGTGCTTAGACAAAATGACTGCTTTGTCATAACGGTAGTGGAAGCTCACTACTGCACTGTTTCTGGTTCATTTGTGCATCACAGCACTGTGTATAAGCTCCCTCCTACTAGTTTTAGATTTGCCTTCTATATGGCAAACAAATCAAATGTAATTCTCCTCATTTCAGCTCTTTGAACACAACTATGTGTTTGTTCCTAGTTTTCTCTTCTTTTGGATGATTACAAATTTTGTAATTTCCAAGTGTCCCTTTTTACATCTATCATTATCCCTTCAATTCACCTTGACAGGAATGAAACTAATAAAGTTAATTAGTTTTTTGACAAGAAGACTTTGAAATAAAATCAATATCATTCTGTGAAAGGGACTAAGACATTTCTAAAATACCTAAGACTCTGTGATTCTACATTATTCTAAAATATTATAAATGAAGACATTTAAAGCCAATGTCCTAGGTTGCCTTAGAAGAGACTCCCAAAACCAAAACAGCATTTCTTCTTGAACCCTGCTGGGCTATTTGCCTGCCCATGGACACTGGTTTTAAATATCAACTTTCTTGGGTATTTATTTAAATTAAATCTGTTTAAATTTGTACTGATGGTTCCAGCCATAAGGACATTATTTTTCTAATATAACTTTCTTTTTCTTCTGTAGTATAATCTTTAAAATTTTTTCTCTAAAATCATCTGATAAATAAGATACTTCTATTTGTATTTTTGCATGTTAATTTTTAAATGATGCCAAAAAATTGAGTGAGAAATTGATTTTATTTCACCTAATATACTTTTCAGTCAAATAATTATGGAGCCAATAGAACATAAATAACCTTATAATCAACATAATAACTATTCCAAAATCACTATAAAATACACTTGAAGTTTTCTGCATGGAGACCCTTTCCATAATCTTTCATATATTTAAGATATTAAGTAATGCCCATGAGCTTGTTTCTGTGAAGTCCCTCTAAACTGCAATTGCATAGAATAAGAAAACAATAATGGAGATTACCTAATTCAATCATCATTAATGTTAACATTAAATAACAAGACCAGAGACATGTGGTTATGAAGCCAAACTCAGCAGCTCAGATGTAAGATATGTTGGGATCTCAGTAGTTTGTGAGAGAGCAGGAATAAAAGTTGAGGCTGGACAGCAATAGTAGCTGTGGATTAGAAAAATGTAGGCAACAATATAATAGGTAGTCACAAACTAAGATTTGGAGCCAGAATGTTTCAATAACTAAGGATGTAAAACTGCAGGGTAACCCAGCTGCAAAAGTATATTCTCCAAATTAGGTGGTTGAAGGCACCCTGGTTCTGAATATTCATGAAAGACCAGTGGGATTCCAGCCAATGACTGGGATTATGAGGAAAGCATCCAGTCTTTGAGAAACCAAAGAGAAGAAAATTTAGAGTATTTAGAGCACTATCACATTGGCTTTGTGAAGATCTTAGCAAGACTTCTCAGTACATAAAGGGACTAGATCATAAGAATTAAATCAATATGGAAAAGGAGAAAGGAAGGAGAAGGAAATTACCCAGGACCTCACCTACATAATTAGTCTGATTTCAGATATTACCTATGGGCAGAGCTGAAAGCTCACATGTGTTATTTAACTTAATGAAGACACAATCTGTAAGTGTACTGTCCTGAGGATCTATGTAAGTAAAGAGAAGCAATGATTGCAACATTGGGCTGGGGACAGAAGTATTTAACATCAGGCCTCTGTACCCCTAGTTCACTCTCACCCCTGAAATGGAATACAGTTGCCTCTGAAAGGACTAATTGCTAAAGGTGATGGCATAGAGAATTTTTTGTAATAGTTATATATCAACACAATTACAGTGACAACAGACAAAAAAATTTAAGAAACCAAGATAAAATATATAGCCCTAGACTAGAAACAGCCCTACCAAAGCAGGGATAAGACCCACTGATGAAGAAATAATGAGTAGGATATTTTGACTTGTATACAATTACTTCCTTGAATTATTTCCTGAAAAGGTTATTTATCTTTCAAAGATATAATATCCCATGATAATGCACTTAATATTAACAAAAATATTCAAATATGTATTTTTTTATTAAATAATAAATCTTACTTCTAAAAAATAATATTACTTTGAGGTCTCCATTAAATTCTTGGTATTTCATATTTGATCCAATTCTTCCTCTGTATGGGTAGACAAAAGAAAGGGGAAAGGAAACCCCTGAGATGAAAAATATATATATGTCCTATTCTCTATTGTGAATCAGGACATGAGAATGATGGATCTTGGAGGGGAAGCTCAATACAGCACAAAGAAAAGAAATAAAAGCTGGGAGCAAAAAGGAGATAATAAAATCCTAAGAATAATTTCCAATTTGATTTACCTAACTACAGTTAATAGAAACTACAATGAAATTGCTGAATGGTGTTTTCATTTTTCCTTCTAGGATATTTTATTTCAGGAGAACTACCTTCCATAGTAATCATGTCATCTTTTCCTAACGTCACTTCCTCTTCACTGATCTTCTTACTGACTGGGGTTCCAGGGCTAGAAGTTGCCCATGCCCGGATCTCCATTCCCTTCTGCTGTCTCTACATAACTGCCCTCTCTGGGAATGGTGTGATCCTATTTGTCACCGTTATTGAGTTCAGTCTCCATGAACCCGTGTACTATTTCCTCTCTATGCTCTCAACCACCGACTTGGGCTTGTGTATTTCTACACTAGTCACTATGTTGGGAATATTCTGGTTCAATGCAAGACAGATCACTTTTCTTGCCTGTGTTGCCTAGACATTTTTTATTCAACTCTTTACTGTCATGGAGTCCTCAGTGCTCCTGGCAATGGCCTTTGACCACTTCATTGCTATTTGTAACCCACTGAAATATGCTACCATCTTGACTGATTCCAGAATCCTCAAAGTGTGGTTTGCCATCCTCGTCAGAGGGACAGTGGTCCTAATGCCTCTGGTCCTGCTTCTGAAACGTCTGTCCTTCTGCCAAAGCCATGTGCTCCATCATTCTTACTGTTTCCATCCTGATATAATCCAACTGTCATGTTCTGACAACAAGATCAACAGTGTTTTAGGACTTACTGCCCTCATAGTTACTGCAGGAGTAGACTCTATCTTTATTCTTCTCCCCTATATTCTGATTATTAAGACCATCCTAGGCATTGCTTTCCCAGAGGAATGGCGTAAGGCCTTTAGCACCTGTATCTCCCACATAGGTGCTTTACCATCTTCTATATCCCTCTCAATAGCTTGTGCTTTCTCCATAGGTTTGGGAAAAATGCACCTCCTTATGTGCACACCCTTATGGCTAATGTGTATTTGCTTATCCTTCCAGTGATGAATTCCATTATTTATAGTGTGAAAACCAAGCAGATCCATAGGGCCATTAAAAAAGTCCTCTTTCCCAAGGAGTCTGAGGTCTGACTCCAACATTTCTGCAATAAAATCTACTCCTTAGTTATCACTTCCAGGAACTAGTATTTAATCAATACAGTTTTTTCTATCAGTGACCTAAAATTTAAAAAACTAGAAGATTTGGTAGGGTAGATGAAGGATGCAGTTTGGTGGAAATTTATTTTTTATTTTCAGTAGAACTATTACTAATCTCTTTAGGAGTAAGCAATGAAATATTCCAATATTATGGAAGTCTTAGAGAATTTTTAAAAGTATGAATGACAATGGCTTAAATGAACTCTCTGACCATCAGACCAAGAGTCTCCAAAATTATACTTAAAACAATAATTCATTTTTTGTCCTATTTCATTTTCTTAAATACAGATAATAGTTATTAGGTTTTGCTTTAGCTTTGATTAAATTAGACCCTGTCACCTATCATTCTTGCATATAAATGAATCACCATTGATTTATTATTTCATTTATTGAGTATCTACGATGGCCAGACACTGCATGATATGATAGGGCAGCAAAGACAAATGAGATATTGTCATAATTAGTGAAGTGCGTAGATAAGAAAGATACCAATCAAAATCTAATGTGCATATATGTTACAATATAGAGATATAAATAAAAGAATAATAAGAATATATAAGAAGAATGTTTACTCCAACCTGGGAAGATCAGGAAACCATCACAATGTGTTGTTTCAACTATAAGGTCAAAAATTGGAGACACTAACTTTCAGAATGGTAGCATGAGATCTGTGGATATATTCCACAGGGAAAATCCATAAAAGATACGGGCACAAACATTTAAATTCTCTGCATATTGCCCTAAGGTCATACAGCAAATGAAAAACTATTCAAAAAGTGCTATTAAATCACAGCATTGAATCATAGTGGTTGGGCTTATTCCGCCCTTACCAGCTTTAGCCACTCCTTTGCCCCATAGCTCAGAATATTGATAGCTCCACTCCCTGTGGGTGTAGCCAAGAACATAGAGCTTCCTACCCCATTCCCCCACCCCATCCCAGCCAGCTTTCAGCCTAGAGCTATGGTATCTCCCAGGAAGGGCAGACCACAGTATTTCTTACCCCCTCCCAAACTCAGCTTCAACTGTGGAATCTAACTCCCACATGAATGTAATCAGATCAGTGGCTCTTCCTTCCCTCTAGCCTCAATGCATAGAGCAGAGACTCTATCCCAGACATGGTAGTCAGAGAGCTCTGAGACCACAGTCACCCTTTCTCCAGCTCTATCATAAAGCAGAGGATTCACAATGAGAGATGCAAGCTGAAAAGACTCCATGCTATCTTGCCTAGTGCCATGCGTGTAAAGCAGGGGTTTGCTTCCAAGAGAAGAGAATGCCACAATATATTACACCAAAATAGTAGAATAAAGGATAAAAACCACATATTCATGTCAATAGATGCAGAAAAAATTTTTTGACTGAATTCAACATACATTTATGATAAAAACACTCAAAATTTAGAAAGAAAAGCAATTTCCTCAACTGATAATAGACAACTATAAAAAATCCACAGGCAATATTATACTAATGGTGACAGACTGAATGTTTTGTCCCAAAATGATGAACAAAGCCAATATGTCCACTCTCACCAATGTATTCAACATAGGGTTGGAGGTTCTAGCCAAGTCAATTGAAGACAATGAAATAAAAGCTACCCAGATTGCAAAGAAGAAAGTAAAATTATTTCTATTTACATATGATCTGACTTTTTGTACAGAAGATCCTAAGAAATCTATTAAAAATTAATCAAAACTAATAAATGACTTCAGCAAAGTTGTAGAACATAAGATCAATATATAAAAAATCAATTGCACTTCTAAACATTAGCAATGAACAATCCAAACCTGAAACTGACAAAAAAAATTCCATTTATGATAACATCAAAAGGAATAAAAATACTTGGAAATAAACTTAGTCAAATAGGTATAAGACTTGCACACTGAGAACACTGTACACAAAAATACTGCTCAAAGAAATCCAAGTCCTAAATAAATGGAAAGATACACGATATTTATGAATTTGAAGACAACATGGTTAACATAGCTATACTTACCAGTTGATTTATAGATGCAATGCAATCCCTATCACATTCAAGTTTGTTTCTTTACATAAAATGACAAGCTAAAATGAATATGGAACTGTAAGGCACCTGAAATAGCCAATACCATCTTGAAAAGGTAAAGCAAAGTTGGAGGATTCATACTCAGTTCAAAATTTACTACACAGCTACCATAATACAGACAGTATAGCACTGGCATAGGATAGACACATAGATCAATGCAATAGAATTGAAAGTACAGAAATAAACTCATATTTCATATCAATTGATTTTTGACACTGATGCCAAAAATCTCAATAAGGAAGAATCAGTGTTTTCCACAATGATGCTGCTGTTACCAGAGATGGGTTCTTGGTCTCACCATGAGAAAGAATTCAAGGACGGATGTAAAAGCACTTAAACTTTAGAAATTTATTGGAAAATAAGAGTTTAAAGAAAAGAAGAAAATACA